TGTAGCTAATCGTTAGCATAGCCAGTATCTCATAGCTTGAAGAAAAATCATACTGCTTAAATTTACACATTTTAATTACCTCAGTGGGAAGAAAAAATAATTTAATGACAGTTTATCATGTCTGTAACCAATATAAGACTGAGTATATATAAAAGTTATCGCCAAAACAAATTCAGCCGCTATTTCGTTTCCATCTCATAGACATGATAGAGAAGAGGTGATCAATTAGGGTTTGAATTTCCTCAGATAGTTGGTTTTATGTGACTTTGTATCAAGTGTGTAAACGAGTAGTTTGATCATAGAAGAGATGCTATATTCTATATTCTAGTCCTTTGTTTACCGCAGACTGAATTCTATCAGTCCAGTTTGCAATGTGACCACTTCACTTACTTGGGAAGTACCATCAACCCCAACGGGTTGATCTCAGACGAAATCTCAGCACGAATACAGAGGGCTAAGTTCGCATATGCCAGTTTGCGCCGTCTCTGGCGTTGACGTGATATCCAACTATCGACCAAAGGGCGTGTGTACTGCTCAACAGTCCACTCCGTCCTCCTTTATGGCTGTGAGGCATGGCCATTGAGAGCGGAAGACATGAAAAGATTAGCTGTGTTCGATCATAGGTGTCTGCGTTTTATCTCCCGCGTGAAGTGGTATAATAAGGTGAGCAATATTGAGGTTAGGCATCGAGTGCTAGGTAAGGAGAGGAAATCAGTCGACGAGACTGTGAAATTACATCGACTGAGATGGTTAGGACATGTGTTACGTATGCCTAGCCATCGCCTTCCTCGACAATGGGCAATGTTAGCTGATATAGGGTCAGGCTGGGAAAGAGCTAGCTAGTGGTGGTCAAACCAAAAAATGGCACCAGTCAATGAAATCTACAACAGTTAGTCTAAGCCAGCCACGTAGGAAGGTGTAGACTTCCTGGTTGGGGTCCTTGGGACGGTAAAAACCAATGGTTGGAAACAATTGGTGATATGGCTCAAAATCGTTCTCAGTGACTGGCGCAGATGCATCCACTCCTTGTGACTTATGATTTCCAATGAAACTGTTTTCTTCTTCGTTATTACTATTCCTTTGTCTCCCACCTCTGTTTCCTGTCTATATTATGCATTTCTCCTACTTTCTTCTCTTGCTTTGTGTGCTACAAGGAGGGAGTGTGGCGACTTGAGCAGGCGCACATATGTGCAAAGTTCTATGTCGAAAACCGACCGACCAATGTCGCCACCATGCTAGGTGGCTCACCATCACGATAAACTCAGGATTGTTGTTATTAGATGGTTGGAGACAATCGGCAGGAAGCCTAAGGCCTAGGTTTTGTGCTTGTTCGCACTCGTCAGCAAGATGCGGCTACAGTCCTGAAGAAACTCACACACAGCTGAAATGTCTATTATGGAGTGAGCTATACTAAACGCAGAGATACCTTGAGATTGTTTTTAGCCCCACTCCCAATGTAACCATGGAAGAATCTAAGCACTGACTCATAAAAACCATTTTAAAAAAATATCTACTCGGTGTAGTATCTCACACTGAAATGTGGCACGGAATAAAATTTAAAAACAAGATACGCTTTATCTTTCATTGTAATATTTAGTGAATTTAAGAAATTGAGTAAATTTATCAAAAAAAATGCCCTGGGTTTCCAAATCCCCACTTGATTAACGAGACAAAATCAAGCGCCTAACTTCATACCTCAGTAACCAAGACTAGTTAGGGGGTTAATTGAGAACTGAGAAGCATTGGACATCATCTGTCCCGTCCTACTTTGGAACACCACTTCAGCACTGCGTACCCACGACTGTAACAAGGATCAAAGTGACAGAGGTTGTAAGTAGATGGGTCATTGGATTTAAACCAAGTGACTGAATGGTCAGTACGCTTGGCTGGTAACCTAAATGTTCTGGATTCCATCTCTCAGTCGGGGGTTGTTGATGTACAGCCTGGAATAGTTCCAAATAAGGATGAAACTATTACCCAGTGCTCTTTGTTTATTTTTTCAATGATTGCGTAATTCATGTCGCATGATAAAGAACAAAAGCTTACATAGCTTCTTTTAACAACTTGTATTCATCTTAGATGGTCAACCTTTTGCGCTTGACTTTGATTTGCTTAATATTTATTCATTTTCGTTTTCTAAAGGTGAATTACACGTAATTCCTATGCTATACGCAATTAATCGAGAGGTATTGGTATATATTGTAAACGTTATCTCGAAGGTTTAAGAGAGAGAACTACGTAAACTAATGGGAACATGAAGCAAAACAATTTTACGGTTTCAATAAATAACAATAAATTCCTTCAACTGAAAGATATTCAAGTAACAAATGCTTCACATTATGGATAAGATTTTATTTTGATAAATCACACAGTGTTACACAGTAATATTAACTGATGACGTTTCGAGCACAAACTATTGCCGCTCATAATCATATCAAGTCACTCACTCACACAACTTCTTTCCTTCATTTATATACATGTGTGGAATCGATTAGATATTGGAATAAAATTCAATATGAGATAATGTACATTCAGAAATAATAATACGAGTGTTATTGATCAATTACAATTAGATGGGAAATACGACGAGTGTTTTTATAGTCATAATAAGTTACTTGTTAGAATGTTGTGATGTGCTTAATTGAAATAGAATTTTTAGATTATTTATTATCCTCTTCTGATTTGACTGGTGGTAATAATATGTTCCATATTTCTGGTATTTGCATCGAGTCATTTCTGTTGCATGTGTTGGGTGTAGACTCGATGAACCAGGATTCAGTAATCAATCTCTCTCTCCACCTACATAGATTACTTCTTAGAATTTTAACCCTCTCCCACCCACCCTATTGTGTGGTTGTGTGTTAATGCATGCAGTGCAATTGTTGAGCTTTTTTCTAAATTACTTATCTTCTCGGGGTCAACCATTCTAACCTTAGCTAAATTCTTATGTTCCGACAATCTGATTACCCCCGGTCTACTAGTTTGACCTATATAGTTGACCTCACAGTCATTACAAGGTATTTTGTAAATTATATTATTTTGTTTAATTGGGTCCACCGGGTCTTTTAGCCTACATCTGATTGTAATTGATCAACAGCACTCATATTATTACCACCAGTCAAATCAGAAGAGAATAATAAATAATCTTAATATTCTATTTCAATTCAAGCACATCACAACATTCTAACAAATAACTTATTATGACTATAAAAACACTCGTCCTATTTCCCATCTAATTGTAATTGATCAATAACACTCATATTATTATCTCTGAATGTACATTATCTCATATTGATTTTTATTCAAATATCTAGTCAATTCCATACATATATATAAATGAAGGAAAGAAGTTGTGTGAGTAACTTGGTATGATTATGAGCAATAATTTGTGCTCGAAACGTCATCAGTTAATATAACTGCACAACACTGTGTGATTTATCAAAATAAAATCTTATCCATTATGGAGTTATACTCTACCACAGTGCCCAAGTTTTATACTTATATCAAAAATACTTCACATCTTGTACCCAATTTGAATTGATATTCCCAAACTGTGGTTAAATGGATTATGCAGAAGACTGTGAGGAGCGAGAACACAGGAATACGTTAGACCGATAAGAAGACTCTAGAGGATCTGGACTTCTTGGATTTTCCATGTCTGTCACACAAATTAGAAGACTAGCTCGAGAAGCAGTAAAGACAGGATTTCAACTGATGAAGACACCCACGCGCACCACCACCAGCAACAACCAGCACTATTCACCATCAACAGACGAAATTTGAAAGGGGTTACTTCCTTCACTTATCTGGGCAGCATCTGTTCAACTGCAGTTGGAACGGATGAAGACGTCAAAACTAGGATCAGAAAGGCAAGGCAAACCTTCATCACTCTGAAATCAGTTCGCAAATCTGTTCACTCAGCATAAACGACAAAATTCGGATTTTCAACACTAATGTCAACTCATTTCCTCTATACGGGTCAGAAACTTGGTGCTCGCGTCACGAAAAGCATTTCAATCAGGTTACTGCAGACTTTCATCAACAGCTGTCTTCGCTGACTCCACACTGAAGATCAGATGGCCAGAAGGAATCAGTAACCAGAAAATTTGGGAAAGGACCAAACAAGAACCTATAGCTCAACAAATATGCCGAGAAAAATGGAGACGAATCAGACACACTTTGAGGAGACCATCGAATGACATCGCGCCCAATACACGCCATCGATCGAGTGGGACTCGAGTGAGAAACTATGAGGTGAGCGTCCGATTTTGACACGGAGAAGATCGTCTAAGAAGGAGATGATAGACTATGGGCAATCGTGGAGCCAGTTAAAGGGTACTGAAGAGCATTGAACAAAATGGACAGCTAATGTCAAAGCTCCACTCGGAACCCAAATGAAAAAAAATAGCAGTAATAAATAATATAGCGGGTTTGGGGCGTCGGTGGCATAGCGGTTAGGACCATGCACATCGTCCGGGGTTCGATCCCCAGCCGACGCACTCCTTTACCTCGCTAAGCCAGAAATAATACTGGTGAAGAGGAAAGGTTAGGCATGAGGCTAGCAACCCCATTCTGTAAAATAAACACTACTACAGAAACTTCAAGCCACTAGCTTGAAGCCCTATGTTCCACTGGGGAACGTGAAGGAAAAAAAATAGCGGGTTTGAAGACGACCTCAGTTTCTTATGTATAATAATAATAAATATCTATAAAGAGAATGTTTCATGCGGATGTTTCCATAACAGACTAATTAGCAAAAAAAAATGCACCATTTCAACTTTTCACACTTTGTTTCAATATTCCACTTTCTACTTTCATACCTATGGAGATACTTAAGTTTCCATGAAAACTTAGTAAGGCTTTTAATTCAAGAAAGCCTCCAACACAAACTTAAATTAAAGTCACATTAAATGTTTGATAGGATATGCCACCGACAGGTGTTGTGTTACTCAGTAAAAAAAAATATCACGTCATACATCAAAAGTATACGTTGATCATACCTGTCTGGAAGTCGACTGGGATTTTTCTGAAATACTATTTTGTTCTGTGAACAAATGAACTGAACTTTTTGTTTCAGGGCATGAACATGAATTACAAACAAGTTGTACACTTGTAAGACGTTTATTATTGATAGATATATCATATGGACATTCAGATTTATGAGTTTTCTCTTCTGATCTACTACGCAATCTTGATGTTGTGTAAAGATCACGTGAATAAGATGTACTTCCTGATGTAGTAGAAAATGAACTTGGCGTACTTGGATAACATATACAATGATCCAGAATGTTACCAGAATTCTCTAAAGATTCATCACACCATAAACTGGTAGGATCACCAGTCTTGTTACAGCATTCTGATAAGTTGGCTTGTTGTGAATTGGAGTTATTAAAATGAGAGGTAGAGGCCATAGCATTATTCTATTTCAGCCAAAATACAAAGGGTGAAAAGTGACTGAGACCTGTAATATAAAAATGAAGAATAATTAAGTATGAAATATACACATCTTCGAAAATAGATCTATTCAAATAATAATTTTCTAATGAACTGAGGAAAAAGATTTTGCTCATAAAGCATAAGAGTCTATTACTTTTTATTTTATTTTATCCCTTTTCGTTCCCAGTGGAACATAGGGCTTCACGCTAGAGGCTTAAATTTTCGGTAGCAATAGTATTTAATTTTACGGGATGGAGTTGTTAGCCTCATGCCCAACCTACCTCTTTACTAGTCTTGTTACTGGCTTAGCGAGGTAAAGGAGTGTATCAGCAAGGAAGAGAACCCTACACCACGTGCATGGTTGGTGAGCATTCTACCTCTGTGCCACCGACTCACAAATAAGAGTCTATAGAACTAAATAATAACAAAAATTGAAGATGAATACGGCAACATTATTTATTCTTTGTTCATTCCAGCTCTTATTTGAAGCCATTGAAATCAGAAGTGTGTTAACAAACTTCTCCTAGCCACACCATTTGACGTCTTGACTGATACAAGTGATTGACATGATTTTCGGAAATAGATATAAAATTGTTATGTATGAGATATTATGGACCTTGTAGACTACGAGCGAATCTAACTAATGCGCTGGCTAATCTGTCCTAATCGCACGTCAACAATAACAACGACAATACCGCCGGGCACGCAAGACAAAGAAAGACTGGACGTTGATACGAGAGCTTTTACTGTCTCTAACATCAGTCGAAATGTTAAACAAAAACTCCGTATTTATACAGTTAGGAAAATCAATGTCACATTTTAGAAATATTAACAAACCATGGGAATTCAGTAATTAAAATCAATAATCATACAGATGCGGGAAATCAATGATCATGCAGGTGTGGGAAATAAATAATGAATATTGATGAGTCACCTGTGTATATATGAAAAATATTCCATAGGCCATTTTTGTACTACATTATTGCCTAAATTTTGGTAAAATGAGTGAACTCCACATCCCAAAGCAACCTTTAATACCTAACGGGCGAAGTGTGAAACCAAATCCGGTTTAGCTTCAAATTCTCCTTTCAAACTCATGGGTGAAAACAACTAGTGCAATAAGATTTTGATTCTAGCCCTTTAAATTCAATAGTATCGACTGGACAGCAGTCGAAACTATAGAAGTGAGGTCAGCAGCCTCCAATAGTCGGTCAGTTATAAGTGAAGCTCAAGCAACAAACATGGTTTGAAATTTTAGTATATGTTTCAAGGATCAAATTAGACAAGTGAGAACCAACAAGAAAACAGAGCATCAACTCCACCATCACAATAAGTACCACTGACATTTTTACGCCAACGGGTTACGCAATATTTGCATTTTAAATATGTTACTCTTAAAACTAGAATAAGTGTTAATTAACAATCAACGAAACAAGGAAAAATTAATATTAAAATGCAAACAAACGTGGTAAAAAAGAAAAACATCCGGGTGTTTATCATCAACCTTCTTATCGAAAACAATGTTCGAAAGAACTAGTAATAAATCAAATCATTCTATTTCTGTTTAGTCTTTGCTTGTATGTTATCATAAATTACTACCAATTAAATTCATAATATTCTGAACAAGTGTTAACACCTGTATTTTTGGTTATTTGCCACTTATGCAGACTACTGGGTTTATACATACAGATGCTTAAACTTCACATGGAATCATCTGATCTGAGAACAATGCAATATATCTAGGTATTGCTAAGATAATCAATACCTCATGCAATCTATGTTATATCAATAGTAACAATGTGACTAACCTACTATTAAGGTGACTTAATTTACCAGAGTGGATTGTGAAACAATTCGTCTTAAACTGTTGCAACTCTAAAAATAGATTAAAAAAGTTTAATCCTGCCTAATATTTTTACTATTATAACAGCACACATGAGATTATCAGTTAATAAGTGATTGTCGAGTGGATACTATCCAAATGTAAACCCACTAAAGTCTGCGCACTGACGGCAAATAGTGTTAGGCGATGAAAGCAACAAAAACATAAAAGCCATCAACAATATGCTATTACCCATTTACGATAAGTGAGACCAACCCCACACAGGACGTAACTTTAGTAATTTCTCAACAGACTGCCATAACACTGAGAAAGAAACTTCGAGGAGTGGATCAGATGGTCTACAGTTGCAATACAGTTACCCATTAACCAACTCCAAAATGGATACGATGTAAGCCAGGTCGTCCAACCATGCATGATGTTGCAAAGGCTACCTCTAATCTGAAGCTGGGCAAAACAGCAGGACACAATGGTATAAATCCAGAGATGTTCAAGGATCATTTACTAGATTAACTGAGGTGTGTATGGGAACCTGAGGTTGTCACAGAAGGCTGTTGTAGGCCATTAGTGGACTCAATTTATTAGATAGATGGAGAAATCTTCCTGTGATAATGTACAGACGACCAACTTGGCTACCACAGCATCTAATATTCTAGGCCCAGTAAACACTAATAGGTGCTTGGTGATGATCAATCAGGTGATTTTTTTTTCATTTGATTTGATCATAGCTTGATTCCACACCGTATTTTTGGTACAAGTATGGAATTTTCAGCACATGATATCGGAAGACCAATTTTGCAGGCCGACCATTGATATCGGGTATGCGTCGGGAGGGGATCGAACCGCGGACCACGTGCATGGTCGGCCGAAGTCCTAACCACTGTGTCACCGACGCACAAAAGACTCAAAATCTTCTGAACAATGTGAGCAAAAACTGAACATGTTTAATCTGCAATATACACCTATCAAACATAAGATGGCTTCGCAGATGTGATCCTGATGGACTCGTAGTTTGAGACCAGCAAACAAAATAGCTGACTGTGCTAACCACTCCACTTAGTTGAAGAGCTGAGTTAGCGCCCTAGTGAGCTGATTGTTAATAAAATCTCAGGAAGGATACAATGGACTTGTCCAGTATTTGATAGCTCGCATTATGATTGATGCAGACTTGATAAACAGTTAGCCATAAAAAGATGTATTCGGTATGCAAACGTTCGCCCTAAGTGTTTATCTGCTCGTAGGGAATAGCCGTTCGCTTAAATTTGGTGTAAGTAGAGAAATGAGAAATTTAGTTTGATGTGCAATCATCTGTCTTAATACTATAGAAATGTCCAACGAGTGTGGGTCCAGAAAAGCTATTTGTTAACAACAATTAACAGAGACACAAATTCCATAACATTGGATCTCCTACCAAAATGTAGTTAACTAGGCATGCACTGACCACCAGTGCACTCAACACATCATAGATATATATATCATGATACATGCAGCGAATCACAAAAACACGATATACATATATTAATAAGGTCAAAGGAAATGGATTTCCCTTACATGTTACTTTATAAGGAATAATCCGAAGAATTACTTAGGCGAAACTAATGGTTTGAGTGTTCCCATTACTCTAGCTGATTTACAAAACTGAAGTAAAGAAATGAATATGTGGACAAGATGACATGAACGTGAGTAATCCGATAAACTGAAACCAGCTATATGAAGAAAATCTCTTCGACGACATTGAAGAAATCAGAACAAGTGGTTAAAACGTGAACTTCCTTGGATTACAACCTAAGCCTACCATATCCGCAACAGAAATCAAACGTGGCATGTAAAATCGTCAGGAGAATTCTTGAAATCCGACAAATTTTCAAAATATCTAGAGACCACATAGAAGTAACAGATGAATTTGTGCTTAAGCTCAGTAACGTTTGACAAAATAATGGCATTTATATATTTGAAAGAATTATTTACCACGAAAACAGGAAGTAAATAAAAAAGAATCCCAATAGGATCAGCTCTAGCTACATCAGAGGAACACAGGATAGATTCCGTTGACGTCAACCAAGACATCGCGCTCAACTGCTTGATGAAACTAGATGCACGGAAATCAGTGGGTCCTGATAATCTTCATCCAAGGCTCCTTAAAGAGTTATCAGCTCACATAGCCACCCGTTGACCACGTTCTTCCAGCTCTCTTCTAAATGGAGTGTTACCGCGTGACTGGAAAGATGCCATAGTAACCCCAATCCACAAATGAGGGTCAAGGCAAAGCCCTTCAAATTACAGGCTTATTAGTCTTACCAGCACTTTATTCAAGACACTGGAAAGAATCATCAAGAAAAGTATCACGGCATATCTGGAAAACAACAATTTGTTATCCAGAGCACAGCATGGCTTCCGAGGAAACCTCTCAAGCCTGTCAAATCTCCTCACTGCAAGAGAAAGCTGGGTCAAATCAAGGGATAACAGAAGACTCGTGGACGTCGTCACCATAGACTTCGGCAAAGCCTTCGATAAAGTTCCTCAAAAAAGACTACTCGTAAAGTTGGAAAGTCATGGTATCAAAGGCAGCTTACCTAACTGGACTAGGGAATTCCTCATGGATAGGAGGCAGAGGGTTAGGATCAACTCGAAACTCTCCTCCTGGTACGGTACTCAAACCTCTCCTATTTATTTCATATATTAATGAGTTATCTCTGACTCCCCTATGATCCTATTCGCAGACGATTTTAAAATTTGGAGACAGCTGAAGGGCAACAATGATACGTCCACGTTGCAAGAGGACCTCAACAATCAGAGTGGTCCAGAGAATGGATGCTCTCGATCAATGTAGCAAAATGTGCAACCATGCTCATCGGACAAGCAAGCATCAGTCCCTACCAACTGGAGGGAATTAAACTCGCATCAGTTCAGACTCATTTGGATTTAGGTAACATAGTTAATCACGATTTAAAAACTACAGCACACTGTCGCGCAGTGGCTGCACGTAGTTTCAGATCCTTACGGACAATTTTTCAGAGCCTCTACTAAAATCATCAGAAATATGTTCACCCCCTTATATACATTTCTGGTGAAGTCAAGACTGGAAAACTGTATCCAGGCAGCTAGTCCTTGTCTTAAAGAGGACTCACATATTCTAGAAAGGGTTCAAAGGAAGGCAACATGTGTGATTCTAGGCATGACTAATTTATCATGCGAGGAAAGACTAGAGAGTTTAAATACCTTCTCCTCGTCATACTGTGGGCAGAGAGGAGATTTAATTACAATGTTTAAAATTCTATATAAGGACTACGGACCTGACCTATTCTCTCTTTTCCTTCCCACTAGGGCGGAACACCTGAGAGGACATAGCAGGAGAGTTCAAAAGCCAAGAAGAAATCATATTGGTGCTGAGTGCTGGTTCTCACACCGAGTCAAAAACTCTTGGAACCGACTCCCAGAATAAGTGTTGTCTGCAACCTCAACTGATTCATTCAAGAAATTTACTAGTAAGGGATTAACATAATCTCCAAGCCTTCTAACCTCAACCAATAAATCTGAAGTGTGAAATTCATATAATTCACTGTTTTTTCTGGTTGACTCGGTAAATTATTCCTGTAGAATTTCAAAAAAATACGCACCCAGTCTAGGCCATAATTTTTAGCGGAGTTTATCCACCGTTTTCACACTCGGATATTACCTAAATTCCATAAATATTTGTAAACATCTATAAACAATTACAGTTTTCTTGATTGCTGAATGCAGTGATCCCTAATTATACATATAAAAAGAAAAATGAATGCAAAGACAACCAGAGACCATTAATAAAAATATGTGACCAATCATCAGAAACAAGGACGAGAGCTTACCTCAAAAACAGCCCTAGCGAAAACGCAAAATATATTTGAAATTTCCGCTTACCGTTGAATTTCAATGTACACGCCAAAACCTCGTTCAAAACACTTTGATATATGCCACTAATTCTAGTATTGCCTTGATGTGATGATATCACAAGTATAAAAAGAATCCGTAGATCGGTTGCTGGTCACGTTCAATGTTGTGAAATTTGTTTGAGACGAGTTAGTGTCAGACGAGGTATGCTGATAATTACATAATATCGTAGGAACATGTTTTACTGGGTCCAGATTTTGCATATTTGTAATTAATAGGTCTTAAAACACTTTGTGAGAGCGATAGATGCTGAAATGGAGGATAGTCCCGTTTCAACCGTTCAGTGATACCAGCACTGCAGAGATTTTACATCTTGGAAGGTATAAAAAGTTACTTCTTTCTTGAGAAGAGGTGCTATTGTCTATATAGGTTGAACATCCTGATAAGCTGGGATTATAACCGTGGTTGAGAAAAAGCAATCAGTGTTTGAGTGACTGGAATGTACGATACCGATTTACGGAATGAATTTGTCGAAAGGACATCAGACAGAAAGTCATGCTTTAATACCCACTATCACTGGATTTGTGAAATCAGGATCCATAACACACACAGATGAGTGGAAAACAAATTACTGATTGTCATCCCTGAGATATATTACCAGAGTGTATATCATAATCAAGGTTTTGTGGAACATATTACAGGGATTCACACCAATTCTATTGGAGGGTTTGTAGTGACCCGTTTTATTACTCATCATCGCAGTATACTTTCACTATGTAATTGTACTTTGATTTGTTTATTACTCTAAATCTTGCATGTTAACAATTGATACTTTTGTACTCGCTCGATTTTTGAATTGTTGATTGCTGCAATAATACACTATCGTATTCCTTCGCAAGTGCCTTTTGAATTACGTTGCGGATGTCGAGTAATCGCAACGCTAGGGCACAATTGTAAACGCGAGGAAATACTAGAAGATACGTGTACTCTAGTTCAGTCAAAATATAGCAGCAACAAATTGGCGAGCCCGACAGATCTGATTGATGGACTACATCATTTCGAAGTATACACAGTGGAATAAATCATCTTTGCCATCGCATTAACTTTTATAACTTCATAACATTTGGATGTATATTTACTGATATTTCTGCTAAAAGTACCTCCGGACCTGGCGGCACAGCGACTGCTATCCCAGTTCACCTTGATACTCAAGCAGCTGTAGCAGCTGGCTGTTATGCAACACCTCAATTCCAGTTCTCTGTCCTCCAGCTTCAGCATTGTCTACAGGTGTACAAACACTCTTACAATGGTCTGCAACTCCATTTACTCAAGCCGGTCCTACAGCTGTTGAATTACAACAGTTTACCCAATCACCTCAAAAACAACAGATTCAAGCACAAGCTCATCAGTTACAACCAGCTCAACAGCAAACTTATATCCAACAACATCAGCAACAACCAACAATGATGGCAACTGACGTCTCTGTCAGTGGTCAACCTGGTACTGTAGCTGCATGCCCCGACGTTACTCCCCAGTTTATCACTCTGGCACCAGGATCTCCATTAAAAGTCATGGCTGTTGGTCCTAACGGTCAGTTGATTCAAATCACTGGTATACCACAGTTTATGCCCATTGCTTCTGCTGGAATGCCTATCAATCAACCAACTTCTACTCTCCAGCCTCAGCAAACATCAATTCAAGTTACTCCTCAACGCCGAGTAACAACACCCCAGCAACAACAACAACATGCTGACGGACGTTCACTTTCAACCGTATCAGCAGCAGCTACTGCTGCACTCTTCTCTGGCACAGCCATCTCTTCTTGTACAATTCCACTTGTACAACCAGCTTTCATGGAAATAGAGGTGACTGAATGTTTACCCAATTCATTTCCATACTACCTTATTACTATACTATTAACTGTATGTTAAGATATAAATCTATTCTGTAACTCTTTACAATTACAACCTCATTATTATTCTAATAATAATTTTTCTGCTTTTATTGTTACATTTTGCACAACTTTCTAAACATTTTGGTTCGTTTCGAAGCTGTTAACATTTTTGCATATATACAGTTATATTATCAAACCTCAAAAACTTAAAATCCTCAATTCGGTTTTCATACCAGAAACTCGTATATATTTTCTGTAATTGTAATTTACAATATCATTCCGAATGCAGGTAAACTTCATTTACCTGCATTCTACGGAGGGGCTATTGTAGTGACCCGTTTTGTTACTCATCATCGCAGTATACTTTCACTATGTAATTGTACTTTGATTTGTTTATTACTCTAAATCTTGCATGTTAACAATTGATACTTTTGTACTCGCTCGATTTTTGAATTGTTGATTGCTGCAATAATACACTATCGTATTCCTTCGCAAGTGCCTTTTGAATTACGTTGCGGATGTCGAGTAATCGCAACGTTAGGGCACAATTGTAAACGCGAGGAAATACTAGAAGATACGTGTACTCTAGTTCAGTCAAAATATAGCAGCAACAGGTTTTAATGAAGATTGAATAACATGGTTAGAGTTATTCACGAATCTCAAAAAGATGTTATTTTCAGCCATTTAAACGAATGCACGTATAGAATACAGTTCAGCTCTGCTACTGATACTCCTATGGCAAACAGGGAGTCATTTTTGTTACATATCAGAGAATAGTATTCTGTGCAAAATATAAATGCCCTTCATATACATCATTGTCACAGATATGTGTATTTTTTTAATTAGAAATAGCCGTTTTATGTGATAAGTGAGTTTGGGGCCATTTGCTTACTGGCAGTTACTCGTGATGAAAGTTTAAATTCGCCCTTCTAATATTTTTACAATTAAATGAAAGTAGTAAATATTAATTGAAAGTTCAAAGGCTTAACAGAAGAGGAAAAGGGGTGACACAAAAGGTTAAAAGCCATAAATATTCCTGTCATTATTTTTAAGAATACTATCACTCCCCTTTTATCTGCTCACTCGTTGGATATGGGCGATTCAGAGACTTTTACTGTGTTTGCTTTTCACTTATCAGCGTTAGTGAAAATACGCCGAAGTTTACTACTTCACAATTTATTGTTGAAAAAAGAACAATGGACTCGTGTTCCTCTATCTGAAATATGTTATTCAGAAGGTAATGTGACATGAAATCTGCTATGCGTCAGTCGTTAGGTAAAAAGCCACGTGGATCGCAGTCAATACCACCGTTGTCAACTGATAAACATAGCCTTCAAAACGACATAAATTTAGATGCCGCGATGAGATGGATATGTAGTCTTTAAGACAAATTCGTGCTTTTATGCCATTATTCACTTAGCCAGATCTTGTATTATTATTCAACTTTCATAATAAAAAGTAGGCTTTAACAGGTTGCTCAGGATACTACTGGACGTAGCACTATTTGTATTATTGTTCCCTTGGATTCCGACTGGAAAATAGGGCTTCAACAGCAATTCTCCGATTTGTCCCGTCCTCAGCAGTCCTCTTTAACCGTCTTCACGAGTGCCTATAGGTTCCTGTCTCCTCCTGACACGATCTCCTCCATGTTAGCGCCGGACACTAGCACTAACCTGTCATTTCCCATTTAGGTTCCACTCGAACAATGGCCTGGTGCGCGATGTCACCAAACTGTCTCAAAGTGTTCCCAGCTTATCGTCATGTTCATCGGGATAATTGTTGAACAATAGGTTTTTGGTAAGTTTGACCCCAAAATTCATCGTTTTCAATTCCCTCTGGCTTTTTGGCTTTCGAAATGGTGTCAGCGAAGGCAGTTGTTGGTAAGTGTCTGCAATCTTCTGGAAATACTTTTCGTGACGCCAACACCAAGTTTTTGACCCACATAGAAGGACTAACTTAACTAACATTGGTCTTGGAAATCCATATCTTGTTCTTCACACAGGGTACAGAAGATTTCAGAGTGATGAAGGTCTGCCTTGCCTTTCCGATCCTGGTTTTGACATCTTCCTTCGTTCCACTCGTAACTGAAACGATTCTGCCTAGATTAGTGAAGGAAGTGACTCCTTTCAAATTTCGTCTGTCTGTCAGTGTGGTAGGAGTTCTACCTCAAGGTTGAGTAATAAACAACCTGGATATGGCCGGGACTAAAATCTCCTCTGGTGACTAGCTAATGTTGTGAGTAAATACCATCTACGTCTACGCAAATTCCAGCCCTACGCGGGATCGTCTAAAAAATCAGCTTAACTGCACTGTGAGTCTTAAATATTAGCGGATTTTATTTTACTGTTCTGTTATTATAATCCTCTGTAGTCGTATTCTTCTGAACCATCTGTTATAATTAACTACTGTCTCTTTTTATGCATATTTAAACATAACTATGTACCTTTACGTATTTTTCTCTTCTTGTACCATTTCATATTGCCCCTTCGTTTCATATGTTTATAACTAAAATCTAGAAGGTAGACTGCAAATCTCTGATTAACTTACTTTTCTACTGTACATATATATTTTTAAAATGCTGTTAGGGACGATACATACAAAATGGCTGACTGAAAGTAGTCGTTCATACCATGAGTTTCGTTGAGTTAGCTAGTGAAGGCAAAAACTGTCTATATGACACGTAGAAATAAAAAAAGATTCTTTTTCTAAAAACAAAAGAAGTATTTCGCCAGGGGCTAGCAGATTGAAAAGTGGTAGGGTGGTGGATATGATGGTGGGGACCTAAGAGAACCACCCTAATCTGTGGGAAAGCACTTTATTGCTAAGGCTCCTGAGTTTGAATAACTTCAAAGAAAATAAATAAAATAAAATAAAAGCTGCCTGTATGCCAAAGCTTGTGTATAAACTCTTTGAAAACAAGCTCATGGTACGATTTCTCTACTTCAGGAGGACATCTAACTGTATAAATCAGAACAACAGCATAAATAAGTATTATCATACTTCTTTTTTTTCTTCTACATATTTTTTGTACTTTTTTATTTTTTATTTTTTTATTTTGATTACAGCTTGATGCCACACCGTATTTTCAGTACAAATATGGAATTTGCAGCATGGATATCGGTAGCCCAA